AAAAAAAAACATATATCTTAATATAAAATGGGAGTAGACACTCTCATATACATAAAAAAAGAAATTTATATCATGGTATAATATAATATATATTCCTTCCATATCCGTCTCATATAACGCTATGTTCGGCTTTTTTAAACAGGCATAATCTTTAAAATGGGTCTGTTCCAAAAAGGTTAAAGACCCTTGGTTTGGTTGTACCATTGTAACTTATTATTCGTGCATAGAAATATTCGGTTCTCGAATAATTTGGAACTCGTACATTTTAATGCAGTGTAAGCTCGATGCTCCAAAATTTTGGAAACCGAACAAAAAATCGAATCAAATTACTTCTAGGATTTTCAACGTAATTATCAATCTAGTAACCAATTAAGTGAGAAGATCACACTCCTCCGTGCATGTATATTGAATTTATTTTTTGTTTATATTTTACCAATTCATCCAGCTTATTTTCTATTATTTAAAAAAGGTTTTAATAAGCAATAATATGAAAGATAATTTAATGGTAAAAAACAGATGTAAAATGATTTATCAACAGAGTCTATTGTTTAAATATTATTTTTTAATATAAATTGCTTAACATTTAGAAAAGTCTTTATTTTCAAAACAAATTCAATTTTTATTGTAATTTTTATGTATTCAATTCAAATGTTCATCACATTACGTGACTTAAATATGAAATCGCTACGTCTCACGTACATACAACATGTTTGAATTAATCTCATATTTATCTCATTTTTAATCAATGCTGTTATCACATAATCTGAAAATCGCAGAATTTTGTAAAAAGTATTGTGAAAAGTATTGATATAATTGATTTCTTATTAATTCTGACTCATAAATTTCAAAGCACTATTTTAATTTATATCAGTTCTTGCAATTCGTGATTAAATTTATTTGTTGGAATTTAAATGAAACCGCACAAAAAATAAAGGAAATCGTATCAAATTTTATCATATTATAAATATATGTTTCAAGAACTAAGAAATAAGTAATAAGCAAAAAGACTTTAACACTGAATAAATAATAAAATCTTTTGACTTTTGCGGAGATTGGAAATTGTAATTTGATGGGGCTTCAATTTCATTTTGTTTTTTGTACTTTAATTTGTAATTCGGAGTAGGAGCCCTTCCATCAAAAGACGCTCAGAGTCGTAGTTCTTCCCCTCCTAATATCCAGTGTGCCCATCCTTAAAGTGGGTGGAAACTCACCCACACGAAATGCGACCTCATAAATTAATCAAGAATGAGGAAAACGACGCTTTATTAAAGATCTTCTGATGTTGTAAATTTTAAGAGTTTTTATTCTCTCGAAACAAACTAATAATGAACAATGCACGAAACTGCACTTTACAAAACAAAATAAGAACGAATACAATAATTACATAATTAAAAGTTACCAAAAGAGAATTGTCTCGAAAATGTTTCATAGAATAGTCATATTTTATTCAGAACATAACCATTGTGATTCTGAAAATGAATTGTACAAAATACTGTAAAATGCCGATTATCCATGGTAATTCGCGCAAGTTATAGCACGAATAAATGAAAAACACGATTAATACATTCAATATATTTTTTTGGTTAATTCGAATCACGGTAAATTCAGAAATATGATAATAGTATTTTATATATCGTTCCGAAAAACCTTTTTCAATGTAGAGTCAAGTCTCTTTTGTATGATTTACTTTTATATGTTTTTACTTCCTCGATTCTTCTGAAATCTGGAACCGATTACCCCCGCACTATGCGAGGTGTTTCTGTATTCTAAAAGTAAGATTTCAACAACAGACTCGCGCTCCCGGTCATCCACATCAAACATTAGAACATATACACGATGTCCCGAAAAGCAGACATGTTTCAACATTAAGCGCTGCAGCAACTCTGCACGATTTTTGCATTTTTTTTTTGGCGAGTTTAATTTTTGAATATAGGTGTTAACTATGTGGTCATGTATTGTTATTGGCCTGTGAATTCTGTTGTCCTGATGGTCTTTAGGTAGATCACACGTCTTTTTATTAAGTGGCCTTACTTTGATGTTAGTTTTATCCGATATGGGTTTTGTTGGCCTCTTCGGACATTTGGGAGGGAAGTGGCGAAGTGCATCTGTTTGTCGGATGTTGACCCTGGCATTTGGAGAACTTGTTCTTGTTTGGACATGCGACCGTTGCGTGAGTGAATTATTGACACCTGGCGCAAGGCACAGGTATAGGAGGCGGTGGAATGCTCTCTACTGCCAGGAAATTCTTGTTCATATAACACTTGAAAATAATTTCTTGAAAATACAAGAAAAACCTAATATCATACATTTATATAATGAAACTAAAACAGGCGTGAATAAACTCAGGCTTCAGCAGTAGAATTATATATGAATCCTCACCATTACGATAGAAGTATATCATATATGCATACTTTAATGTGCAACCAAAATATTCCTGAAATCCTGTTTCCTGTTGAAACATTAGATTGTGTTATAGCATATTCCTACATCAAAAAAAAGGTTTTTTTCGTGCAAGAGCAACAAGAATATTTTGTGATATATGACCCATTTATTCTAAAAAAATTGACCAGACTATTTAAGCAATACAATCAGTTTTGAAAGATGTTAAATTTATTAAATGATAAGAATCAATATGTGTTTATTATAAAAATCAATAATTTGATCTACATTTTCAATAAACGGATCATAGGTAGTACTTATGTTTTTTTTTTTATTTGTCAGTAGTTGTGCGAGTTAAGATAATATAATGCAGTGCTCCCTAACCTTTTCATCGCCGCGGACCAGTCAACGTTCGATAATTTTACCGCGGCCTGCTAAAGGCGGAGGATGTTGATGCAATTACACCAAAAAATAAATATAAAGTGATTTAATATTTAACTCACAAAACTGTAGTGAGTTAAAGTAAAACGGAAATAATTTAATGTATCTTGGGCGGTCCGGTACCATTTGATCCAGGTACCGGTATCTGTCTACGGACCAGGGTTTGGGGACCACTAATATAAGGTAAGAAGAAACATTTTTATAACCATTTTTTATGTGTGTTTTTATTAAATATATTTTCATATAATTTCATATAATTGTTTAAATTAATATTTTAAAAAAATATCGGGTTTGTATTTATTTTAATTTTTAGAAAAACCGTTTTTTAGATGTGTTTAATTTAAAAAAGCGGTTATTTGAAATGAAAATTTAATAATTAGAAAAATGGATATACAATTTATTTTTAAATTATTAAACATAAAAAGTTATTATACAAATCAGCTGAAATTTGTATATGAAAACAAATAATAATGAAATCAATTCATTAACAATTCAATTATTGAATATTCTAATGGAATACAATAAAAAGGTAAAAATAATATTTACATTTATGGATGAGCAAATCAATGACCAACAATGATAAATAAACAACTTTATTTTATTTTCAGTGTATACAAATGGAACATATACCTGCGTCCTTTGAATTTGGTATTGACTTTTGAAATATTCGTCCGAGTATGATGAAGACAAATACGATGTTAGTAGAGTGGTAAGATGATAAATCCTTCCAGTTGCTATACAATGTTTACTAAAATAATAAATCTTCCGTTTCTGTGCGGTTCTTTGAGCGAAACATGTTTGTTTTTCGACGGAGATACATTTAATCTAATAATCCACTTCGCCCTAGTTGACTTACAATAACCAAATAAACTCACTCGGTTTTTCATCATTTCGCATTGCGACCAGCATTATATAATTACACGTAATAATATATTCATAATCCTTTGAGCTTTGTTCCAAATTACGCTTAATGTAATTAATTCAAATGTTTGAAACATGTTTAAAATCGATCATGGTTTTGATCTCTCAATGAAGCTTACGATTAATATATAATAATTATAATGGACCATAAATAGATGCGGGCGAATAATTCTGGTATCGATTTTGCTGTACTTGATTGTGGGCGTATGGTGTATTCTATTCGTGAAGGATCTGAAATCCGGGATCACATGTAGAGGTAAAGTTGAACATGGTCAGTATTGCTGAAGTGGATTATACTAAGCTTTGTTTAATATATACCAACCACTGATGTATCAGGAGATTAGGCCTGGTTGTGCAACCGGCTCGGAACTAAGCATTAGTTGATTCACGTTTAAAATTGAATACAGCTAAAAGCACTAATATCGGGACTTTCGTGAAACTTTCAAGCCACTTTGAGATACTGAGGCTTTAACGTTTTTGTTGCCAAAAGAATAGCAAATTGTTTCTTTTGTTTGCCGAAACTTGCCGTTCCCCTCGAGTTAAACTTGTTGCCACATTTTCGACAATGCATTTTGCATGTCGTATTTCCCCAATCTGATTATGGTTTATACAACAACTTGTACTTTTTACACATTTTTTAATATCATTATATTTTTTGTTTCATTTATTTTATTTATTTTTAAAAAATATGTATATAATAATAGGACAATTCTATTAATGGCTCAATCAAGTTACAATGTAGGTTTGATAGTATATCGTTATATTTACTAACCAGCGTACACATATTTGCATCAACGTACAATTATGTTGGATCAGTCAGATAACTGTATGCAAACAACTGTTAAGGAAGATCCATAAATAAAGTTTTATTGGCAATGTTCGTATGAACATCAATTATGATGATGAAGACACAAAATTTGTAAAAAATCGATTTATATAGGAATTTACTCTTCGATTAACTTAGTCTGACATAGCGTATAAACAATTATTAACTGAACATTGACTGAATATTTAAGAATTTAATTTATATAAGGCACAATAAATGAACAATATGAAAACGACATTATATAGCAAATAGTAATGTTGAGCGAAGGTCGATTTGGAGGCCTTGAGAATGGAGGTCGCCACAGAGCAAAAAAATCCTCTGCAAAATTGACTTTTTCTTTTCCTATATAAATAACAGTGGAAATACCGGGTCACGTGCTAATGTAACGAGAATTCATGCGATATAAATGTATGTCAATAATGCAAGTATCAAAACAAACTTCATTTTACTTATCTTATCGTGTTCTGTCATTTGGCTATCGAATAACGATATACAAATACAGCGCACTTCGTTGTAGTCATATCAGAGTGTCATTTGCCAGTATAGAGACAGCAGTACATTATACATAATGAGTAAGCCTAAGGTTCTAATAACACATTGCGAGGTTCCGTCCTCCGCCATCGATTTATTAAGGACAGAGTAAGTAGAATGTTTAATATCAAAATACGGCTAAAATATAAAGAATTATTTAGCTGCGACTTAATTATCAATGATGAGAAGCCCTATCCGAATATCGATCAAATTAAGGCTAAAGCAAAAGGGGTGGACGCTATTCTATGGTCATCAAAATTAAAATTGAATGAAGATGTTCTAAATGCAGCGGGTATAAAATTAATTAAATATTTTATTTAACTAAGTAGTAATAATATTTTGATTGAATAGGACCTCAGATGAAGGTAGTAGCTACTATGTCAGCCGGTGTGGATAATATTGATTTAAATGTATTGAGGAAAAATGAAGTAAAATTGGCTAATACTCCCATAGTTTTGAACGAATCTGTTGCTGATTTAGCTATTGGATTAGCATTGGCAGCTTGTAGACGCTTCACGGAAGGTCGTGAGATTATAACTAGGTTTGTATATAATAAATTTTTATTTGATAAACTTAATTAATACTTTGAATTTTATAGTGCTAAATGGACTTTTGGACCGCAGTGGTTTTTGGGAAGAGATTTGTTCCAGGCTCGAGTTGGTATTGTTGGTTTCGGTGGTATTGGTCAAGCAATCGCCAGACGTCTCAAGGCCTTTGACGTTACAGAAATCATGTACTCTGGACACTCGGAAAAGGAAGAAGCAGTAGCATTGGGTGCTAAATTAGTTGACTTCCAATTATTATGTTTGCAAAGTGACTTCATCTTCGCTTGTTGTCCTTTGAATGATGAAACCAGAGGCATGTTTAACGCAAAGGCTTTTGGCTGGATGCACAAATCAGCAGTTTTTGTAAATGTCGGTCGTGGAGAGCTTGTAGTTCAAAAGGATTTAGTCAAAGCATTGCAAACAAATAATTTGTTGGGTGCTGGATTAGATGTGATGACTCCAGAACCTTTACCCAAAGATCATGAGCTGCTGAAATTATCAAATTGCGGTTAGTTTGCATTGCTTACAACTTTCTATTAGTAATTCCGTTAATACAACATATTTTTTTAGTTCTAACTCCACATGTTGCTTCAGCAACGAAACGAACGAGAGATGCAATGGCAGAATTATGTGCTCAGAATATCCTGAGAGGATTAGGTGGAGAAGAAATGTTTACACCAGTGCCCTAAATAATTAAGCAAAAAAACATGACTTTACCCAACTAATTACTTGAAACTAAATAACATCCTGCAAAAACTACCTCTTTCAATATTTATTTATTTAAATAATAAATATATTAATAAACAATAACTATAACTAAATGAATTTAATTTAATAAAAGTAATGTTTTTTTATATTACATATTAAATAATTAGTATATAACTTCAGCTGTATATTTATACGTACGTGGTTATATTTAAAGCTCTGTTTGAACTAATGCTAGATGCGAATAATTAAATTTCTACGAAGAAGTTTTGAATGAGCAGTTAAGAAATGAATGAAAACATATTTTAATTAAACTGATAATTAAATTTTGATTATACAATCTTTGTATACAATCTTTGTTTTTGTTTGTTTATGAGGCATCGACAGCTTAGGTCATTAGCGTCTATCACAATCAAAAAGGACTTATACACAATACAGTAACAAGTAAGTTAACATAAATAAATTAAATATACATATAAGTAAAATAGGTAACATATTAATATAACGCAACTAGTAAGTTAAAATAAATTATATGTAAATATAAGTAAAATGGATAAAAGAAACATATTAAAATCAATCGAGTGGTTACATCCTTTATAGTTGTCGTAAAAGTCGTAATTAATTTAATTATAAATAGAAATGTAGCATAGATACATACTTATATTGTAAATTTTCTTTTCTTAAGTAATACTATATAAAAACTATGTTTTTTTTATGTTTTCATCAAGGTTGTTTAATTTTGACTACTTTAATCCTAAATAAATTCCATTTAATCCTAAATAAATTTACTTAAATGAGACGATGAGATGAACGTCCCGGATTACCCCTACATCAAAAGAATTATAAGAAGCTACCTCAGCGAGCGCACATTTCGAATAGCGCGCCTTTTACATAATTTTTAAAACATATGTACACATATTATGTGTGTTTTTTTTATATACTAACCATCTTCGATTTTCTTTATTATCTTTCAATTTTNAAACTTGTGTACACATATTATGTGTATTTTTAATATATTAACCATCTTCGATTTTCTTTGTCATCTTTGTTTAAAGCGGACTATACTTTGCAAATATAATTTGTGTTTGCTGTAAAAACAAATATGTAAAGTTATAAT